TAATTTTCTATATTGACTATATATTATTGACTATATAATGTATATCATTTTATATAGCTCATATTTGAAATAATATTATATTAAAAGAATATTTTTATCAATCTTATTTTGACTATAAAATGTAATGCATTTTATGTAGTATTTGAAATTTTTAGAAGAGTATCAAATAATATAATAAGCACAGCTTCACATTTTTTATGTTATAAGATTATATTTGATTTTGAAAATATTTTCTATTCATTTTCTTTGCGGAAGCTATAGAATCAATTTACTCTGTATTTTTGTAATTTAGAGCTATCAAGCTTTTGAAGCATAGAATTTGATTCAAAGATCCATAAAATAATTATCTTTGGCAATGAAAAAAACAAACAAAGCTCTTTACTTAAATTAGTACATTATTATATTTTATAGAATAGTGTATTAAATGGCTGCTTCGACTTGGCTGCAGAGTTTCCTGCATAAGATTCCGATTTCGATCACACCTTTCTATTCCGGGAATAATTTTCAAAATATTGGCACCCATTGAAGTTAGCAAAGAGAAAATAATCGAGCGAAGTCAAGTCACATATTCAAAGCTTCTCCGTGAGATTACTAATTCCCCAAAAGTTTTTCTTTCCAACTTCCAATGCTTGGCCACTAAAATTGAAAATTAGAAGAGTTCTATGTGGCGAGTCGCTTGATTCCATAGACTCCACCAAACTGCCAATAATTTTGGATGAGATTCAGCACTTGTACATAATTTGCAGCGTCCAATTATCGGTTCCACGTCTATTTATAATATATAAACAGATATCGTAGAACCAACTGAAGGCATAATTCTGCAACTGTTTTGAGTACATGTAGAGTATACCAAGGTAATAATCTTCTTCGTCTCTTGTCGTTAATAAATTAAGATTATCTGACCATATTATACTCTTGTACACAGTATGCGTATAGCTACGAACATTAATCAAAGCAAAGTATGAGAGACACTACAAATTGACTTTGAACATAGTCACATCCTCGCCCCTCGGATGTGCTCAACATTCAAAATGTATTCGGCTTTCAATCGTCGTCATAATCGAGCAGATCATCGGGTGAATATAAATTGTTGATTTCTAGCATATACGCTATAGTCTTTGCTAGAAATCCGCCAAAAAATACTCCTGGGAAGATAGTAAGTCCAAGCGCTAAAAGATAATGCTTTGGACGTTTGGGTCGCTCCTTGATGGTGTCACTCAGTCTATGTGTTATCTTGTATTGTCCATGCATGCTTGTCTTAATTTCAATTAGCTAACTGCATTTCTTGTTCTTCTTCAGAAGCATTTTCTACAAATTTAATTTTATCTCTATTTTTCGAAATTTTTAAAGCTTTTTTCCAAGCGTTCCAATTTTTGACATATATGTCAAAACTTTCTCTAAAAAAAACAATACGTATATATATATATTTGTGAAACCCAAGAGCATTTCTGGCTGGGCCTTAACGGCTTTAAACCTGCTTTATATGGCACTTCCGTTCTGGTCTGCAATATTTGCCGCTGCGACGAGCCAATTGTCAATTGTCAAAGTGTCGCCTGAGTTTGTCTAAGCAGCCCATTCTCTTCCTCCCTCTCTGTCCCTCGGCCACTCTCTCACCGTATCTCTTTGTCTTTCTCTAGGGCTTAATGCATTTTGGCTGTATTTGTGACACTTGCATTCAAGAAATACTCATTTGACCCAACTGTCCATTGCTTGCGTGTTTGCTTAGCGAAGCGTTAAAGGGCTTGCCACTTGGCCTTCTGGGCAACCCCATTGAGGTAGTACGATATCTATGTTACCAAATTATCAGGCATTACAGTCTTATCTAACCAAACATCAGGTGTATTTTGTAGTAAGGTGCAATTACTTTTAGATATGTTGGTTCCCTAAACAAAATGTGAGATGACTAAATATGATGATGATGATAAATTATTATTACAAACGATTTATTGCGTAGTCATCCGATTTAGGCAACCTCTGGCATATGTTCTATATGTATAACATGATACATACATAATTTCAATTGAGAAGATTGAAATTCTCCCTGAAGAAAGCACCCTGATATTCCTTAGAAATCATACAATCAAAGTCCTTGAAAGTTTTATTTTAATTAGGAATAGGTATTTCTTCCAATTTTCTATTTTAGTTTAATAAAATAAATCAAGTTTTTACATGCCCTGATTTATTCTCTAGCATGTGCAGATTCTCCACTGAATAATAATAATAATTGAAAAAATTTTTAAAAATTGTAAAAGGACATTTTTTTAATTTTATACATTGAAAAGAATTTAGGATCGATTGATTAATAATACTTTTGAGTCCTAGCATTGCATCCCTGCTATATCTGTATAAAAACATCAATAAGCATTAAGTACAGTAAATTTTAGTCAGCAAAATACATATATAATAAATTAATATATTTTATAAAAAAATGTTATACGAAGGAATTTGAATTTCAAACAAAGAACTTCGATTTCAGCTTATCATATGCATATTGCGTCATTATCAATTTCTGTGGATGATTCACATTCATTAACAAATAATCCAATGCCAAGACATAAAACAAACAGAGCCTACTTTATATTTTATGAGTTCTCCGATTGTTTGTGTATATGTGTGCGCTGCCCTAATAAGATGTAATAAACCTTATCCTCTTTTGCCCTTGCAACCTTTTAGCAACCTCTTTCAGTCCTATATTGCTTGCTTTATAGCTCAGCACTTTGGGCTAGTTCGTTGTCTAAGTCTTTCGTTGTGTTAAGTCGCCATAATAAAAGAAACAACAACAGCAGAACGCTGCATTAGTAGATTCCGCTTCCGTTTGGCATTTCGCACGTACAGGACTCTCACGCAGGCCTCAAATCCTGGCCCAGACTGGTAAATATTTGAAAACAGTCGGCGAAAAATTGAAAAATCGAAAATGCGAAGAGAAAAACCCAGCATAAACGGCACATGTGCATGCATTGCTAGGTAATTAGTAGGATTTTCCAAGGAACTAGCAGCTAATCTCGATGCCCTGCCCAAGCTCACGCAGTGACCGGGCTCGCACAACGATCAGGTAACGATCGCCGGACTCGAATTCGCCGCAACTTTGGCGGGCTCACATGCCGCCATTTCTACAGAAGTCAGCGGCGTTGCGGCTAGTAGCTGCCGGTCGCTGATAGCCAGCAGAGCTTTTAGTATGTTGTCGACTGCAGCGCGTTGTGGACGTTGAGGCTGTGGTTGCGAGAAGTAGTCAAGTGTACGTTGAGTGTGTGTGTATGTGTGTGTGCGTATGTATGTGAAAGCCGTTAAGAAGTCTAGCACTGAGTAAGCCAACGAACAGGCTGGCAACAAAAAGCCGCCAGCGACAACTCTGAAAGACTGAAAGAGTGAACAACAACAACAACAACAACAACAGCAGCAGCAGCAAGAAAATCTGTAAAACGGGCACGTCGCGCTATTTTATTTTCATCTCTTCATCGTACTTTTCTACCTATCCATGTATTGGCTGCTCTGCGGCTCTCTACCTTCTTTCGCTTTGCCTTTTCTGCTGCCGTGTCTTGTGGTCTGCGTGTGTATGTGTTAGTGTGTGTGGACTGAAATTTCAGGTGCAGCCGCATTGAATTTCTTGAACAAGTTTTAGTCAGAGTTTGGCCTTCGTGTGGCATGGTACAGTAAACGAATTGGCTCCGTCGCAGAGTCTTTCGCTAGAGTGCAAGAGTGTGTGTGTGTGTGCGTGTGTGCGAGTCTGACTCAAACTGGATTTTGTACAATTGTTTATGCACTGCGTGCAAATGTGTATGTGTGTTGCCAAAGGATTTGTGTATAAAGTTTTTTGAGCCCGTCAAGAAACGCGCGTGCGCGAATGCAAAAGCTTTGCTGGAAAATAGAAAACTTTAAGTGAAATTTTCGCCGAAGGGATAAACACTAAAGAAAACTCCGCACTTAAATCTTTAAAAATAAAAAAATAAAAAATTTGGAATTTGGAATTTAGAAATTAATAAAAGATAATAAATTTAATTTAATTTGAGCAAACTCTTTAAACTAAATAATATATAAAGCTGCAAAACTAACTAAAAACAAAATCAAGGAAACAAATTTGTTTATTTGAAATCTAAGAAAAATTTTTATTATAATAATATATTTTCGTAAATTTGCCGGAAGTAAACTTAGAGCATTATGCTTCATATATGTACATATGTAGCTTATATCTACAGCTATCTCAGCTAGCTGTTCGCATTCATTGGTCTTTGTTCAGGTTTATCCATGCAAGTTAGCTGAACTTAAGCCAACCGCTTGCTTGGTTCTTTTTGTACCACTCCATTAAGTTGTCTGTGTGCCTATGCCTTTTGCACTTTACTAGAGACTGACATTAGAATTCGAGCGAATACGACTACGACTATTCATACTAACTTCGCATGCTAGCTGCGCATTTACGCTCCCATTAACCAGGTAGAAATTACAAACACAAAGACACACAGACACACGGGAAACGGGGAACCAGCAACTGGGCAACAAGTGCTTTGCGCAATGACCAAAGAAATTGAGGCAAAAAAAAAAAAAACAGTAGCTCAAATATAAAAAAAAAATGCTCGAAAAATGGTGTAAAAATTGCAGTTTGCGGTTGCAGCTGTTGCATGACAGGAGGAGCGTAAAAAAAATGAAAACAAACTCTAAAATTAGCTAACGAAAAATTCACAGACCTTATAATTATTATGTTCGACAAGTTTGTGTCTTAAGTCTTTTGTTTGAGCATATCAACATAAATAAGTTTCATATAGAACTGGATAGACATGACTCCAAGAAATATTTCTCTTAATTAGCATAAAATATTTTTCTTAGATTTCTTTTACAAAATTGTTCCCATTGCCCGTTCAAACGCATTTGGAAACGTGCTTAGCATCTACAAGCGGCTCCGACGAGCTGTGTGAAGAATTTTTAGCCGCTTGTCTTTGCATGCATAATTTATAAGACATTAAAATAATAAAGAACACACTGCATAAACACTCATATCATCATGTATCATCATGAATTTGTGTGTATGGGCGTGTGCGTGTGTGCGAGTGTGTGATATACTTAGTTAACGCCTTTTAAACGACTATCTCTATCTATAGTGCAACAGCGTTCGGCCTTGCGCTTTAAAAAACTACGAGCATCTATAAAAACTGCACTTTATAACCTAAAGAAAATAAAATAAAACAAAAAGTAAACTTAAAGTTGCCATAAATATCGAAAGAAGACGAGGAAGAGACAAGAGCGAGTGTGTTGCATACGAAAACGGGAAACTTCAAGGATAACCAGCTGACATGCCACATAAATTGGATTATTAAAAAGCGGATCACGATATATAGTCGAACGTAATACATATACATTGCGTATATAGGTTGCATATATATAAGAGGTGAGTTGCACACCAAAAACCATATTTTAATGGGGATTAACAGGCGGCATAGTGTAAGATTGGGTTTCGCCTAGGCATGACTAAACCTACCTATTGGAATATTTCCGGGCTTCAGAAAGATAAACTATTGCTTATCTGTCGTACTCTTATCTCATGCAGATGCAAATGAAATATGTTCAAATTTTCATTTATTTATTTATGCATTATTAATAATTTATAAAACATCATAGCTCTACAAACACTGTGAATATATTAAGTATTTCCTTCTTTATCCGCGCCTTGCTCATAAATATAAATCTCAAGTATGTTCGATTTGTATCTCTATCTATTCATTCAATAAATATTTCTTTAATACATTCAGTAAATAACTTTTCACAACTCCAACTACCTCTATGACATATTTAAACATGATATTTCAATTTAGAAAATCTTAAATCCGGAAATAACTTTTAATTTTAATGTATATATTCCCAACTCTAATATGACAAGTTTCAGCTTGTTCACCTAAAAGTAATCTATTCGATTATGTTTGATAAAAATGCCATTAGAATCGCTTTTTGTTGCTGCTTGGATCAACTCTGAGCTGACATCATGCAACAGCGTATAAAAGCTGAACAAAACATTCCATGGCACGCCTTTGCCTATATATCCATGGCTGTACTCATGGCGCAAAAATGTGATTATTTATCGATTATCGATAAACAATGGACAGACAAAAATGGCACGCTTTCATTTTGCCAAGCGATCTGCAATCAAAATGATTGTATATAAGTGTATGGAGTATCATAGTGAATTGTGTTTAACTAATTGATTGATCGATACGATTGTGACACAGAGCAAAGACTAGAGGCACAACTAAGCAGCGTCGGCCATAAACATACACTTACACATGTAGACACACACACACGCATACCAATGCCATAAGTAGCACAGCAGCAATCAACATCAAAGAACAATTTCTTTTACTTTCTATAAAACAAAACAAAAGCGTTGACTGTCTGCCGGCTTATGTATGTAAGTGCGTCAGTCAGTTTATCAGTTTGTCAGTTCGTCAGTTCGTCAGTCTCGCATTCGTTTGTCACATTTATTCAATAAAGGCCAAGCCAACTTCCAAGTGGAGAGTCGAAAAAGCGAGAGCGCTACGGCACAAAGAGTTAACCTCAATTTTTTGAGACGCACTCTGCCGCATGTTGTTGCTTAACACCAACACCAACACCAACAGCAACTCCAACACTAACAAAAACAATAACAAAGCAAAATGAAAAAAACTGTGTAGTATTGTTGTTATTGTTTGGTTGTATATACATATCTTTTCAGTTAGAAAAATTTCACTAACTGGAAGTGAAATGCAGAACAAATGACGTGTTAGCTGCCGCCCCTGCCGCCCGCTACCTCCTGCTTTGATCTGCTCAGAGATCTGTAAACACAGAAAACACATTTTTTGGCAAGCATTTTTATTTGCTGAGTTCATAAGCATTTAGCGCTGGCCAAATAAACTCGTTTCGTTCGCTTTGGAAATAAATTTGTGTGCCATGATCTTTTTAGTACAGCATCTTATGGATTTGTATTCAGATGAGTTCGGCTAATACCTTAGTTAAATGAAATTTTTCGTGTTAGCAAACCAGTCTGACTAGTTCGAGCGCGTGTTTTACGCGCTGTGTATCGATGATTAGTCATAATTTCATATATTGGCATGCGAATAGAAGCGGAAACTGAGCGCTCGTTTGGTTCGACTAGCGGCAAGTGCATCATCTCTTTTGTCTATCTAAAAACAAACACGCATAAGCTAAACTTTCCATTTCAATTGACTTAATCCTGTTTCACTAGAATTCTATTGATTGTCTGTTTTTTTCATTTGATTTAATCCACATTCTTTAAGTTTGACATTTACCTAGAATTTTCTCATAAGAACACAGATTTTACTCTCCCTCTATAAATAGCAGCTGACGCCTAGACGGCGCGCAGATAGACCTTCAAGCAACCCTAAAAGAAATCAAATTCGATTCACAAATCTAAAGTCATCCGCAGGTATAATAACATAGTAGCACTAACTCACACAACATACACACACACTCAATAGAAGATACCTTAGAGGTTTGTTTACCTGCTCGAAGGTGCAAGAAGTCATTTGAAACGTAGCCGAAACTAGACACATTTTGATTGCGACTGTGAGACGAGGTTCCCCTCGCCGCTTGTCTGATAAATAAGCCGCCTCTGGTTGCTCAAAATTTGACAAACAGCTCACAATACATCAAGTGTCAGTTAGCTGCAAGAAAGAGGGGCTACACAAATGGGCGTGGCCGACCGAGTCATGCAATAAGATCCCCGAACCCTGATCTTTTGAACTGATTAGTGGTTGCTGATCATAAGAGCATTCCAGTGCGCATCATTGAGATGCTTTGTCGGTCGAGTTCGTGTCTTAAGTCTTTCGTTTTCTCGACCAAACATGCGAGCAGTCCATATCATTAAATAATTATATGTTACTTGCCAATAATTTTCGGATTTCAATCAAACGTCATTTTCTAATCAACAACTTTTCCTTAATAATAACAAAACAAAAACGAAACTCCCAGCCTCAGCTTCCGTCTGCCTCTCGACAGTGAAAGTGCCTTCAAATCCTATTCTAAAAGCGAATTAATGCTGATGCCCCCAAGTGTCTTTTGTGCGAGTGAAATATGAAATAAAAGAAAAAGAGCGCTTAATCATCTTGAAAAACAGTTGACAATATCATAGACGAGTAGGTTTCATAAGTTTTCCAAGTTGCATCTGCTCTACGGCGGTGCTCTGGTGGGCGCTTTCTCGGCGCCTTCGTCGATTAGTTACAATTGACACGAAAAGTTTTTCTCTTTCTTTCGTTGTTTTCATACATTTTTTAATTGTGAGAATTGTGTACGGTACGTGCACATAATGCCACAAGAAAGTGGATCTCTGGTGCGTCCGGCAAAACGTTTTGGCGCTGTCATTGTCGGCAATTGTTAAAAAGTGATTAAGCATGCTGTGGCAATGATATCTGCCTGCCAACACAGTAAAAGTATTTCTTTTAATTGCACTTACTATAATATAAAAGTAAAATTTTGGTGAAATACATATAATATTAAACGTAAAATTTAGGCGGAAAGTTGAGAATTATAAATATTTCTCTGATAATTTTAGTAATTATTTTTGAAAAACTATTTGCAACAAAGTTTCATAAGATGATTTTTTTTTTATAAAAATATTTAGTTTTTTTTTTTTTTCTTTTGTATAAAATTATATAAAAATTATTCAATAAAATTTTTGAAGAATTTTTTATATACGATCAAGATATACTTTCATTTCATTATTTTTTTCATAATACTTAACAAACATTTTTTTTTCATTTACATTTACATTTTCTAAAATCATTATGTTTTAATATTATTTAAGAATAATTTGAATGAATCATAAATGGGATTATTATTTATATATTATTTTCGCTTATTCTCATTTATTAAACAATTTTCTCCCTGGGTGATATATAGGTTTTGTTAGAGTCTTCAGCAGTTTCTTAAATATATAATATATTTTGCTCCTTATTTTTTAGACATTTTAGACAGAACGAGATTTTTTAGGGTAAATTTTCTTAAGTCAATTGCGCATAGACTTTCAGAGCTCTTAACCATATATAGTTTAGCAGAAGATAAAAATGTAGATATTTGAAATATAAAGAAACTCTCTTAAATTTAAAAGCCCATTTCTGGTTTATGTTATCTATGTCTACATTCATTCTCTCTCTCTCTCTCTCTCTATCTCTCTTTTCAAAATACTTAGCTGCATACAAAAGACTTGGGCAAGTAACTTATGCATTCCTCAAACAACGCTCACTTTCAGCTTACAGCCGAAAATTGTAGGCAAATAGCTTGGCAAAAAAGCTATAAAATTCACATGAGTGCTTCACACCACAAGCAAACCAAACCACACACACTCACGCTCACATGCATACATAGATACACACCCTCAGCTCTTAGCTTGACTCTTGACTTGTCTGCCGCCTGCATATTTATTTCCAACTTGGCTTTAACCTGTTTGCGTTTGTGTTTTGTTGTTGTTGTTGTTTCTTTTCGCTGCATTCTCGGGACCATCTTTGAGTTTGAAGTAGCTGCGTCTTGAATTTCAAAAAAATCACAAAAAAAAAAAAACTGTTACTGGTGCCAATGGCGATGACTGCGCTGTGGCTCTCATCATGATAGCTACTCCCTATACTTTTGCATGATATCACAGCTGCGTTTGCCTCACTGACTTCACACTCGTGTGTGGGTGTGTGAGTGTGTGTGCCTGCTGAGGTGCAGCTCCATTGCATATTTAGCATTTTTTCCACCTCGCTTTGGCCAGACTTTTAGCTTGTTTTGTTGATTTGCTTCTGATACTATTTTAGTTATGATATTTGTTTTTATGGCTATGTTTGAGTTTTCCACTTCACTTTTCATTAAACGAAAACACATTGCAAAGCAAAACTCTTACTTGTCTATTAACAAATTAAACATTAATTGCGCTCACCGGACTACGCCCCGTCCCCTTGTCTCCTGCGACTAGCATTGCATTGTGAAAGCGTTCGGACAGTAGAAATCATTTGACCATTTGTGTATGCTATTCGTGTGTGTGTGTGTGTGTGTGTGTGTGTGTGTGTGTGTGTGTGTGTGTACTCTGCTCAGCTTTCGTCAGTTTGCACATAAAAACAAATATTGTTTTTTTTTTTTTTTTTTAAGCTTAAACATATTTACTAGCTGTTGCAGCTGCTGGCGACGCGAGGCATCGGTGGCAAGTTACAAAAAAGACAAACACGAGAGACACGAGAGACAGAGAGATAGAGAGGGAGGGAGAAAACTGTATTGGCTGGTAAATATGTTAGCGTACCTTTATTTGGCTATCCAGAAATAGCCAAACGATCCATTCGAAGATTTATCAATGAACAACGATGATGAAAGCCAGCGATAATCATGAGGCCAATTTATATCCATGCAATTAACCTCTAGTCGAACCTC